GAATTTCGTCTGTCACTAAACATAAAGAAAACAAACTTCATGGTTACATCAAAGAAAAATATTGTATACATCAATCTACACGTAAATAATAAGACGATAGAACAAGTTCAGAATTATAATATGTTGCGTTCTGCACATACGATGACCTCAATATAACAATTGGGGTCATCCTGAAGGGGGAGAAAATGATATTCTGTTCAATCTAGAAGTCGCTGGTTTCCCCCTTTTGAATTGGGTATGTATATTAAAATAAAGAAAAGAAATCAAAGCCAGCGGACTATATAAAACTCTATTTACAAAAGCAATGAAATTAAAACATAAATATACATAACCACATACAATTATAATTAAAGAAGAATATGTTACTTAAAAGAAGAAGAATATATTACAAACTTAACTATTCTTCTTCTTCTAGTTCCTATCCGTTTCGGATATTGGAAATCATATTCGCAATCATAACCTTGCTCGCTGCGGCTCGAAACAGCTCCGTTGAGGTTTTCTTAAACCATGTTCTTAAATTCCGCAGCCATGATATTCTCCTTCTACCGGGTCCTCGCTTACCTTTGACTTTACCTTGCAATATAGACTGTAGCAGGGAGTAACGGTGCTGATTTCTCATAACGTGTCCCGATATTGCAATTTTATGCGTTTGATCGTAAACACAATCTCTGGTTCCTTCTTCATTTTTCCTAGAACTTCCTTGTTCGTGATCCTTGCTGTCCATGATATTCTCAGCATTCTTCTATAAAGCCACATCTCAAATGCTTCAAGTTTTTTAATAGTGGCGTCTGTAAGCGTCCATGCCTCCGCCCCGTACAACAACACAGAGAAAACATAGCATCTCAAATGTCTCATTTTTGTATCAAGGGATATGTTGTGACTTTTGAAGATGGCGCTCATTTTGTTAAAGACCGTTCTTGCCTTTCCTATGCGGCACTTTATTTCCTGTTAATTGCTCCACTGTTCGTTAATAATAGTTCCCAGGTAACAATACTGTTTTACTCGCTCTATCTGCGTCCCATTAATGTATATATGAGCCCCATTTATATTCTCCTTGCTGATAATCATTTGTTTCGTTTTGTGGGTATTAATGTTTAGTCCGTACTGTTGACTGTACTCGTTTATTCTGTCCATTAGCCTCTGAAGTCCCTCTAAACTATCTGCTATCACCACGGTGTCGTCGGCATATCTAACATTGTTTACTCTTTCACCATTTAGAAGGATGCCTTCGTCTATTCCGTAAAGAGCCTCGTTAAAATTTTCTCTGAGTACATATTAAATATCAACGGCGATAGGATACATCCCTGTCTAACTCCACGTAGTATTTTTATGTGATCTGTTTCTTCTCCGTTAATTTTCATGTATGCGGTCTGATTCCAGTAGAGTTCTGAAATTATTGTGAGGTCTTTGTCATCCAGGTCTGCCTCTTTTAAAATTTTTATCATCTTTTGATGTTGAACTCTGTCAAATGCCTTTTCGTAGTCGATCAAGCACGCGTATACGTCGCAGTTAACGTCCCTGCATCTTTGAATCAGTACCTATACTCCAAAAAGTGCCTCTCTGGTACCCACTGCGTTAATGAAGCCGAACTGTCTGTTCGATATTTGTTCCTCGCACTTCTTATAAATTCTTCCATGGATGACTCTAAGAAACAGTTTCAACATGTGGCTCATTAGGCTGATTGTTCGATATTCTTCGCACTTTTTAGCCCTCTGTTTTTTAGGTATCGCTATGAATTCTGATTCTAGCCATTTATCAGGGATGATTCCTGTATTGTAAATTTTATTGAAGACAGCCGTGATCCAAATTATTCCTTCTTCCTCCAAGAGTTTTAAAAAATTCAGCTTCGATATTATCAGGCCCTACAGTTTTCCTGCTTTTCATCCGTTTTATTGCTTCTTCTACCTCGGATTTATGTCCGGACCCGTCATCCTCTCTGAAAATGGATGCCTATAATCCGTTCTTTGATCTTGAAAAAGTGTCTCCAAATATATTCTCCATCTGTCTTTCATCTCTTGGGTGTCAATGATTAATTTTCCATTGGTGTCTATGAGTTTCATTTGTGTTCGCTTTTTAAAAGTACCCGTTATTTCTTTTACCTTTTTGTGTACATTAAAATTGTCATGCTTGGCTTGTAGTCTTTCTATTTCTTTACATTTCTCTACAGCTTCTTTTTCTTTAGCTTCTCTTATTTTTCTTCTGATGTAAGCCTGCATTTTTTTATACTCATCTTTATTTCCTTTAATTAACCTTCTGCGTTCCATTAAATGAAGGATTTCTGGAGTCATCCAAGATTTCTTTTTTACTTAACTATCTAACTTCTTCTACTTAACTATTAGCTACTATGAAACACACCAACAGACACACCAAAAGACAACCATAAACAAACCAAAACAAAAATGTCGATTCTATAAAAAACCACTGACAAAACAAAAGACAAAACCTACCATAGCCGCAAACATACTATACATAAAAGAGAAAAGACAAATTAATATTACAAAAAAAAAACATATATGGATATATATGTCAATGGTATAAAAACAAGTAATAATGCGGTGCATACAAATAATTAATACAATTATTAATACAAAGCACACATGAAATAAATCGTTGTTAACAAAATACAAATATAAGAATATAGTAAATAGTAAAGAAAACAAAACAAATGCAAAATGTTCATTTGACAATGTTCAATCGCGATCGCGGCACAAATAAGATAATGTTCCAAACAAATATCAAATAAATATACCAAGTGCGCGTACTTGATATATGCAGCAAATTATATATATGGTGTATTGTTCCTTGCCCCATGAAAATATAGCACTAGGGCTATCGCAAATTACGCCTTCAGCGGCCGACTGCAACTACCAAAGTTCGTGATGCACATTAGCGTCTTTCTTGGTCACAGGATCGATGCGGAATCAGGTACTCTTAACACATGTGTCCGGGTTGAAAGACAGAACTCGACTCCGATTTTGACTTTAAAATAAAACACATGTGGCATATGGAAATCGTCCTTTGTTATCTCGCAGATGGCCGTCTTGGAATGTTTAGCCCTTATCTCTTTTTGGCCCTTAAACACCGCTGTGCAATTGTATATGCAAATCTTAGTTTAAAATATACTACGGGGAGAATCAAAACTAACAAAAAGTCTTAATATTTTATAAATGTTTATATGCAGTTGCGAAACTGCAACATAATATGAAACAAACATTATGTTGTAGAGACCTCAGACTAAATCTTAGAACACGAGTACTAAAGTGTTATATAATATGTTCTTTTGTATAGTGTGGGAACATGAACTTTAAATAAACAATGTCTCAATGAATTGGAAGCATTTGTAATGTAGACATATCGAAGAATAATCAATGAAGAAGTACTAAGAATAATAGAGAACGGCAGGGAGATACTGGATCCAATCAAAATAAGAAAACTACAATATCTGGGTCGTATAAAACATAGTGACAGATATTAATTCCTAAAACTAATAATGCAGGGAAAGATTTAAGAAAAGCGCAACATAGGTAGAAGAAGAATGCCCTGACAGAGAAACTTCAGAGAATGGTTTGGATGCAACTGAACTGAACTCTTTCGGGCTGTATTGTCAAAAGTTAGAATAGCCGTGATGATTGCCAATCTTCGTCGCGAAGATGGCACGTAGAAGAAGAAGAAATTATTGATTCTAAGGCAGTTAGTTCCGAGTTTTAAGTTTTAGTTCATTCTGTAGGAACACCATATGCTTTAGAATCCTATGGGTCTTTATGGGTCCCCTAACTCAAATATTTCGAGCTGGCCTCGAAATATTATCAAAAATCTTGAATGAATACATAAAAAAGGCAATCTTAATAAAAACCCACTGCACTAGTGGTAATGGACGTATCACGCAGAGAAATCAGGTGAAGGCGCCCTACAAAATCTAGTGTCAGAACTCAAAAGGAATTAACACCAGAAAGAAGTCGCTCTTCCTACATTTTTGCATTTTTAGACATGGAAGATGCATTTGATAATACCTCTATCGAATCAATAAAAGGGCAACTAAGGAGTGCCCTCAAGGGAGTGTATTGTTACCAAAATTATGAAATATAGTCGTTTATGACCTGATTCATGGGCTCAAGGAATCTGAATTCAGTGTTTCGCAGACGGTATTGTTATAGTGACTTAGGTGAAAATTTCCCAGTATTGTTGCGGATCATATACGATATGACTTTCATTATATAAAGAATTCTTGTCGTAGGGAGAACCTCTCTGTAAACCCTTCTCAAACTAAACTAGGAGTATTTGCTAATAAGAGCTGAAATATGTGTATAATACCCCTGGGGAGGTTAACCCTGGATTCCAAACTCAATTGGAACACCCATATTAAAAAAACTAACTAGGCGACTCTTTTTGAACTGCAGACGAGTTGGTTCAGCCCCCAGGTAAAACCTGGGGGCTGAAACCAAAAGGTTGGTTGTACTGATCAGTGATAGACCGACAGTTACATGTTGTTCAATACTAAGTGGAAAAAGAGGGCTTTTGACATACCATGTCACCTCAGCCAGTTGGTCTGTGTCGTTTTAACTGACAAGAACTACGTGTTCAAACCGAGCAAGGAGACATGTAGCTCCTCAAGTATTAATTTTTATCCAATGTCATCGACCTAGAGTCACAATATAATTTAAATTTGTAATGATGTAAAACCATATATGCATGTCACAGCTACAAATTTAGTGTTAGCTTCAACTACATAAGAAGACACTGAGGATGATCTAATTAGATCGAAAACGTTATGCTACTGTATAAATTTTGACGACACTTTTTAAAAGTTTTAACTATATGATTTTATACCTAAATACAATTGTGAAGTGTTTTAACTTCTGTATGTTTTTTCAAAAACTTTTAGGTTTGATCGTTAGTGCAATATTATATAGTCAATAATTCATTTTATTTTTGAATGTTTTTTATTAATTGATCTTAAAAATTTATTTTGTCCATCTTTATTGGTACCTCGACATTTTTAGACACTAACCGCCCCATCTTACTGTCATCACCCGAATCAGCGCCAAACTTCGACAGGAGCATTTATAAGAACGACGATTTCGATAAAAACATGGTACATTTAGGATACAATCACAATATAGAGAATTTGCCTAGAAACAATATAGATAATAATATATGCGAACAAAATTTGGATAACATACAAAACGTCTACACGAATTTACAGTCTGCACCTAAAAAGAGGAAGTTGTCCCAAGATTCACCCTTAGTAAAAAGCGAGCCAGGTAAGAAATTTTTTTTTATCTTATACATTTCTCTTTAATGTATTCTTATCTTATACATATCTTTAATTTACTAGTATTTTAATTTTGAGATTCGGTAAATCGATTTCTTATTGGTCTTTTTAGTTGTTATCGCCATTCGTTTTAAATGGTCCTAACAATTATTGGACCAAATCTTCTGACAACCTTCTGAACCTAACCGACAGCGGAAACCGCAAAGTCAGCGAATTTTCCGTCACCGACTGAAGCTGAACCTAAGAAACCGGAACCATATAATTTTTCACACTGAATCTGAACTGAATTCGACTGTTATTTCTGCTGACGGAGCCTCTTAGAAAACCGCATCTTAAGACAATTGCAAAAGTACCTTTTGAAATTCTTTTCTAGGGTCCTAACAAACTGAGCTTTTATCTTAACTATTTAGATAATTTTTAACTTTCTATAGAACTAGTTAAATTCGTCGTGGTTCTTTTTCCCAACTTATTTTCTATTCTTGTTCATTACACAATATTCCGTTGCCGTATGTCGTATTCCGTTTGGTTTCGATCACAGTGCACTATAAACGCTCCTAATCTGATTTAAATGAGTATAATTTTAAGATTTACTAATAAATAAATAATACAAACTTTATTACTAGTTTTATGATCAAATGCAATTGATATTACACCATTTTATGACATTAAAATCATTTATATTTTCGCATTTACTTTTAGACCATTGTACAACCAGCCAACTCAGTCCTTCCGAGCAGCTTAACACGTCAATGGACGAGGATTATGCCTCTTCAGAAGCCTGTTTATCAGAATCTCAGTATCAGTGTATAAGATTTAGTGCCTTTCAGCAAAATAATTGGCATATGCTTTGTGATCAGAATCTCACAGAATTGTAAGTACAACTCGATTTTATATTGTTTCATTTGACGAATACCAATGATGTCTTACCTTTATATGTACTATTGTTTTGTACAGAGTACTTTCAGATTATTCTGAAATATTCCAAACCTTTCTAACAACGGTATATTTTACAAAATTTGCATACGTTATATTATACAAAGAACAGCTTGCAAGGCAACACTGTGCATATTTATCAAAAGATATATTATGTAGCTAGATATATTGAGGAACTGGTAATTTTGAGATGATATTCCTTAAATAGATATTTGAATATTAAAATAATAGCATTTCAGCAGTAGTATCCAAAGTTGTCCGGAAAAAGCTACTTATATATTTTAGTCTGAAAAAAAATGTGGCTTTAAAAATGGAAAATTAAACGGAACACCAAAAAAATCAGCTTACATTACATTAAATTTACAAATATCCACAATAGACCTCGTAGGTGAAAGGGAGGCTAAGCGCCTATTCATATTGAACCAAACCTAACCTACATTTACAAATAGACATGTCAGTTGCTTATAGGTAACAACAAACAGCAAAGTTATCCCAAAGAAAAACGAAGTTAAACATTTAGGTATTCATCAGATCAAAGAATTGGCTTATTAGTAAAAGATCACAACTATCCACAGAAAACAAAGTGTCAATATACAAAATCATACTAATTGTTGCTTTCTGCACATACTGATGACTGTATAACATATGAGACCATCAAAAAGAGTATGGATTTACACGTTTAATCTAGAACCCGCTAGTTTCTCCCCTTCGAATTGAGTACTGCCATGAGTGCCATGTATAAAGAAATAAGCAAGAATACTATAAGTGCCCTTTATTTAACGTAAGTGAAATAAAACTAAATATTATTTATACGTTTACTTCTAAATCGTTAAGATCTACAAAATTGAAATATTCATGACAAAGATACAAAAAAACTTTTATCTAAGGTTGAGAATAATTATAGATTTTACAAAGCGACAAAGTCGTTGAACTATAAGAACAAACCTATTAGCAGAATCGCTTTTACAAGTTGTGAATTAATTAATTTTCAATACAAAACAAGCTATAGATATCTGTATCAAAGAAAACTGCTTATCTACGGGTGAATCATAATGGGAGTATGTTAGGATAAGGCACAAAAGAATACCTGAGTAATGAATTTCATTGTTGAGGTTACATACAGTGGCGATGAAATGCAAGGCGATATTTAATGTTTAATTATTTAATATTTATATAAAGTTGCGAAATTGCAACACTAATCATACATAAAAAATATTAATAACATACAATAAAACAGTTGATATTATAAACGCTCAACTGATATAAAAACTGGCTAAACTAAAGGTAACCTGGCACTGGCGGGAAACACCTACATAATATATTACATGTATTATTTTTATTTAATGCTCAGTTAGAGTAAATTACATACAAACCTATATCAGTCAAGAATTGATTATTATATTTTCTGTTTTAGGCCTGTACCACATTATAGAGTAGATGCAGATAAGGGTTTTAATTTCTCAAATGCCGATGATGCCTTCGTTTGCCAGAAGAAAAATCATTTTCAAGTAAGTATCGGTTTAGATAACGATATAAACAAAATTTTGTTAGCACAAACTTTATTGACGTGAGTCGAAAGGAATAAACAAAAGGTTTTTAGCATGTGACAGCTAATACACAAACTTCTGTACTTCTATTAACCACATTCACTCTATTGGATGAGGAATACTCAATGCATTATGTTAATAGTGTATTAGGAACAAATCTGCTTTGTAAATCACATAGTTAAAAGATTTAACTTACGTTTTATTGTTCCAATATAAAGTGCAGGTATAATAATCTTTACATTATCAAATAAATCACTAAATTCGAAGAAAAATTGCATGCATTCTGTCTGCGCTTGTTTAGCATTTGAGTTCAGAGGAGATAACGTAGTACTTGCGACTGCGGCTGTGTGTAATTTAATGACTGTTTAGTTTCTGCAGTTTATTCTGCGTGTTTGTACTGTACATCGTTTGCTTTGTACGAGTAGTCAGTGTTAAACTTCTAAATTGAAGTGAAAAATATGGATTAAAAGAAACTGACACAATAGAAGAAAGTTCGTGCTTTAATTTTATTTGAGAAAGGGGACTCTCTAATTATCGTAGCACATGAAATTGGTATTTCAAGGGAGACAATTTATGAATTGAAACGGTCGGCTACGTCGTTGCCTTTAGGAACTGTTCCGGAACGAAAACCTGGTTCTGGAGCTCCTAAAAAACCATTTTCTAGGACTGACACCATTATCAGGCGTGAAGTAATGTTGAATCATAAATTATAATGACGGTATTAGATTTTCATTTCGTTGCAGGGCAGCGGCAAGCGTTTATACGTATTCCAACCTCTTTAGGTCTCATCAGAGCGGCATTTGCTACTGCATTCAGTTTCGCCAGGTAGGAAATCTTAGATTTCTCTTGTTGTTAATGTTGAACCCTTCCATAACTGCCACAGAACTCAAATATAAACATCCTAATCTCCTTCAGAACTCAAATATAAACATCCTAATCTCCTTCAGAACTCAAATATAAACATCCTAATCTCCTTCAGAACTCAAATATAAACATCCTAATCTCCTTCAGAACTTTTCAACAAGAACAATTCGTCACCAGCTTCAGAAAGATCTAGCATTACTAGCAAGTTGACGTGCTCTAAAGAAGCCCTTGCTTGCAAAAGCAATGAAGAAAAAAGGTTAAATTTGTGTAAAAGGTATCAGCATTGGACACCTGAACAATGGAAAAAAAGTCATGTTCAGTGAAGAAAGTACGTTCAGGTTAGTAAGAGGAAGCTCCAAATTTGTTCGTCGTCCACACACCGCGTCAAGGTACGATCCAATGTTCACAGTTAAAACCGTCAAACATCCTGAAAGTGTAATGGTATGGGGCGCGTTTAGTGGAAATCAAGGAAGGGCAGAGTTGTATTTCTTGCCAAATAATGTTACAATGAGGCCAAGCAACTCTGTGACTGTGCAGACTCTAGAACAACATTTATTGAACTTTTGATAGATTCACGTGTAACGGCTAGCTCACCCATTGCACATTGAAACCCCTCAGGGGTGATGTTCGGCATAAACTAACTTAATTTGAGAAATCGAGAATTATTAATAAAATAATTTCTTTAACACATATCTTTATTTATTTATATTTTAATAAATCAAAATGTAATAACAATTAAATTGAGGTTCTAACAACAGGGAATTAAGCATCTATATACAAAATCTCAAGAAATAAAGAAACTTAGCTCTACTCTATGAGAAATCCTCCTGCTGTTCTCTTCTCAACTCGGACCATACAATGTCTGCAAAAACCATGCCGCTAAGCCGAAACCATGTGGATCCCTCTCCAATCCAAAGCCATGCAGATTTTCAAAATCGAGATGGATTTCTTATTCCAAAAAAAACAATTCCATTTTCGTATTCTTCGAATAAAAATCCATGTCAACGTAAATTTTCTTATATCATAATCAAGGTGAATTTTCTTGAATAAAAACCAAGGTGGATTCTCTTGAATAAAAACCAAGGTGGATTCTCTTGAATAAAAACCAAGGTGGATTCTCTTGAATAAAAACCAAGGTGGCTAGAAAAAACAAAAACCGCTACAAAATTCGTCATGGCACGAGTTTTGTCCAACAACAGAAGAATTCTGGCAAGCGGAAAGCTCTTCTCTCTGAGACCTGTGTATACCGATCCAGAATTCTCTGATGTTGCCAAAACTCACAAATTAATAATTGTAATTAATAGATAAATTATTAAATGAAAAATGAAAAAGACAAAGTTGTGCGATAAATACGATTTATATTGAATTATTATTATTACAGCAAAGGTAAAATCAAAATAAAAATTGTAAGCAGTTTTTAAGTACTAGCGTACACAATATGTTGTTGTAAAAAGAGCACAGTATTAACTAACCCAGACCGTTGGAAGTTTCTGACCACGAGGACTTATTTTTTTAATAATACCTTCTCGTTTGCTGGTTTATTTTAAAAAGAAATTAAATCGGATCGGATTGATAGAAGTAAATTATTTAGGAGTGGGGTTTCTGTTTCTTGTACGATAAAGTAAGCGAAGGTAGGACTACGAGGGGACTTAAAAAATTAATCAGCGGATTCATTTGTAATAGGAAAATATTGAAATAAAATATAGGAATACAAACAAAGGAAAAAGAACTTATTATCAATGAAAATAAAATAGTATGAACAGAAAATAGTGGAAAGTACTTTGAAATTAATAAGAACAAAAATGTAACGTTTTAAACGTTACACACGAATGTGGCTTCTTTATGCACGATGGTTCCCTGCTCACAAGGCCAGACAGTGATAAAATTCTTGAGTGATCACAATATGAACGTATTGGAATGGCCAGGTAACTCTCCCGACCTTAATCCCATCGAGAACGCCTAGAATATGACGAAAAAACGCCTGGAATAAAACAAAAATCAACTGAAAGAGGAGTTGAAGAGGATGTGAGTTGAGGGTGACCATGGAATAAGAATATTTTTTGAACCTTGCTTAATCAATTAATTTGTAAAATTTAACTAACAATTATCCTGATTTATGTATTTATTCACTGTGTAAAATTTTATTTGCCGACACTGTATACTAAATCACATCTACGGGAAATGCAGTAAATTTCTATTGGAGTGATATAGTTAATCATATATATATATATATATATATATATATATATATATATATATATATATATATATATATTTATATATATATATATATATATTTATATATATATATTATATATATATATATATATATATATATATATATATATATATATAAAATTTTGCCAATTCAACCGATAACATTTTTAATACACCGTAAGAAAGCTATACGTTTTATTTCTCGTTGTTGTCGTTAATCGATATTGCGACTGGCTCTTTTTGTAGGTCTACGATTGATCCAGAAATGAGGTTCCCATCAATTTTAAAAATATACATTGTTTATTTCTATAGAAATTTACATTGTTGAAAAGAAGAAATGTTGCTCTATTTTTTTACATAATCGCCAAATTGTTCTACGTTTTTTTGTAGACGGTGCTCCAATTTCCTTATCCCAATGTTGTAAAACTGCTTCACGAACCTGTTGAGGAAGCGTTTTACCTCTTCTGTGACCTCGTCATCGCTCAGGAAGCGTTAGCCGCTCAAGTATTCCTTTTCCTCACTAGGCACGATGTCCGAAGTGCAAGGTGAATGGGGCATGATAGTCCATTCAAAGTGTGTCAAAAGCTACCAAGTTTGACTGGAGACGTGAGGTAGGGCATTGTCGTGAAGCAGCGTTATAGCGTCTGATAGTCGTCCTCTCCGACGTTTTTAGGTGAATTGAGAGGGGCTGGAGCTCTTTGGGAATAAATAAGAATATCCATCTGTGCGAATAATTATTATTTACTCATCATCATCAGTTGGCGCTACAGCCCTTCGTGAGCCTTGGCCTGCTTCAAATCATTCTTCCATCCTTCCCTATCGAGTGTCTGTCTTCTCCAGCCCCTCACTCCAATCTCCCTCAGATCTTCCTGTACATGGTCCAGATATCTGAGTTTAGGTCGCCCCCTTCTTCTTCTTCTTCCGACCGGCCTATTTAGCATAGTTATTTCAGTGGGATCACTCTCATCCATCCGCATAACGTGGCCCACCACCTTAGGCGGTTTATCTTGATGGTCTTCACAATATCTGCATCACCAAAAAGTCTATAGAGTTCAAAGTTATATCGCCTTCTCCACAGACTCTGTTCGTTTACTCCGCCAAATATGGTCCTCAATACTTTTCTTTCAAAGACTCGTAGTAACTCTTCATCTCGGGTCGTCATTGTCCATGATTCCGATCTTTATGTGAGCACTGGGCGTATTATTGTTTTATAAAGTTTGCACTTTGTTGCTATTGACATACTTCTCGCTCTTAGTTGAGGGCCCAGGCCGAAATAACAGCGGTTAGCCACGCATATTCTTTTTTTTTATCTCGTTGGATGTGTTATTTTTGTAGTCTACCAGTGATCCTAAGTAGCAGAATTCTTCTACCATTTCTATCGTTTGGTGTTGCACCTCTAAGTTATTTTGTTGAATTCTTGATATGGCCGGCATATATTTAGTTTTCTGGGTGTTAATCAGAAGTCCGATGTTTTCTGCGGCATTTTTGATACGTGTGAAAGCCTCCACTGCTTCATTTTGGGTTCTTCCAATTATGACGATATCATCAGCGTATGCCATTATTTGTATACTACGGGTATATATCGTACCTTTTAAGTTTATTCCCGAATCTCTCATAACTTTTTCTAACGCTAGGTTGAACAGCGTGCACGATAGCGCATCTCCCTGGCGTAGTCCTCTATTGGTTTTAAATGGTTTTGAAACATCCCCTTGTACGCGCACTTTACATTCGACTTTCATCATTGTCATTTTAATTAATTCTATCAAACCTTTTGGTATTCCTAATTCGATAATCGCCGAATATAATTGGGACCTGTCAATAGTATCGTACGCTGCCTTAAAGTCTACGAAGATGTAATGGCAGTCTATGTCGTACTCCGTCGTTTTTTCTAATATTTGTCTGATAGATGATATGTGATCAATGGTAGATTTGTTTTTCAAGAAGCCTCTTTGATAGGATCCTATTATATTGTCAGTATACCGTGCCAGTCGTTCGTTAAGTATCAGAGACACAATTTTGTATGCTGTATTAAGAAGGGAAATCCCTCTAAAGTTGGAGCATTCGATAACGTTTCCTTTTTTGTGTATGGGGCATATAATTCCAGTATTCCAATCTTCTGGTAACGCGCGTTCTTGCCATACCTGTATTAGTAGTTTGTGAAGGAGGGTTACAAATGTTTGACTGCCACATTTAAATATTTCTGCTGGTAGGTTGTCTGCTCCGGGTGACTTGTTTCTGGCTAGAGCTATTATTTACTATAAAACCGAATTTCAATATTATTTAATAAAAGCTAATTTGCGATAGTGAAAGTCATGACAAAAACATTTAAAAAGAAGGTAATACATTTTTTATTTTATTTTTTTTTTCTTATATTGCAGGTAACTTGCCATGTACAACTATTAGGTGATGCACAATTTGTAAAAACACCAGACGGATTTCAAAAAATCTCCAGTTTTCATCTTCATTTTTACGGAGTAAAACACGATTGTCCAACTCAGACCATTAGGGTAGAACAAAGTCAGAGCGACAGAAGCAAAAAACCATTCCATCCTGTTTTGTAAGTAATTATTAAAATATCAAAACTTTTTTTAATAGAATAATTATTTTAGAGTGGAGTTAGTAAACGCACAAGTCACTAAAGTTACAGTCGGAAGATTACATTTTAGTGAAACAACATCAAATAATATGCGAAAGAAAGGAAAACCAAATCCAGAACAAAGATATTTTCAGGTTAGTACATTATCGCATCTATTATTTATCATTATCATTTTATGTATCTTCACGGCCTCCAAAGTAGGTGGCGCCTTTATAAGCTAACTACACGGTAGTAAAGATTTGGGAGACATTCGTTTTACTTTCCGAGTTTGAATTTGTATCAGCCCAAGTGTCTGACGATGGCTGGGATAGGCCGAATGATCATAACACCTTAGTGATACCAATTCGAGCACGGGAAGTTTAACGAATTTGTCTCCTAGGCCATATAGTTGGCCATTTAATATATATATATATATATATATATATATATATATATATATATATATATATATATATATATATGTGTGTGTGTGTGTAGAGATAGTGCAAGCACTCCTGACCACGGCGCAGTAGACGAAATTTGGTTTAGTCCCCACTTCCATGCGAAACGCATTGTACTATGCACTGTATAATTCCACTTACAATAGAACTTTTCTGCCTTTACGTGAATTTTGACTCCGCTTTCGCGCAGCTCCATGGTCAGGAGTGTTTGAACTATCTTTAATACAAATAAAAAGGTAATAAAAAATTACATAGATAAAACAAATACATATAGTGGAATAGTTATACATGTTAAAGTAAAATTGTACCGGAATTTGTAAAACGAGTAGGAAAGGTATAATTTTTTTTACTTAATGGAAAACCGTGCTTTATCTATAGAACAGTGGATAGTATGAATGTATTATATTTTAAACAGATGTCTTGACTTGAATTCAATTGTCGTCTTCCACTAAGGAAACCGTTTTCAAAAAATTTTAAATTAAAATAAGATCGTTGTACACTTGTTTTTTGTGTACTGTTGACGGTTGGTCAAATTGACAGGCAATTCACTCGGCCTCGGTCTTGCAGGCAGATAGCAATGGTCTGTTTTACCTTGGGGGACGATATCAAATTCTGATTTGGTGCGAGTTTATGTTTTGTGTATTTATGTATTGTGTATAAATTATTTATGATAGCATTCTAATGTATATCTTTATTTTTTATTTCAGCTTGTTGTTGGTCTCCATGCACATACTACAAATGGAAATTTTCCTATTGTTAGCCATGCTAGTCAAAAAATTATAGTTAGAGTAAGTAATAAAAGTGTAATTTATGGTAATTTTAAGGTTTGTTTAAACAATGGTTCATAAAATTATTCGGACTCTTTTTTTCTTGAGAAACCATATTTTTTTAAGAAATTAACATATAAATGGCTGTAAATGTCAGAATAATTTGTAGACTACTGTAAAATATTGTTTGGTTAAGATAAATGATATATCTTGACGATATTCAAAATGCAGACGCAACGCTTATTTTAAATGAAATAAAAATCTTTTCTTTTTGGCTATGAACCTTTAGTTAGCCTCTCAGTGGTTCATAGATTTTGGACATACTTTACATATTTTAGGATTCACACAAAGAGTTGGACAAGGTAATGTATACATAAAGGTTATGTATATATAAAGGTTATGTATAAAAATTGTCATTCCAAAGTTGTAAATACTTTATCCCAATTATTTTTTGCAAGATGTAATTCAAGTTTCTAAGATTTCTAAGTTTTTGTTGTATATTAAAAAACAAATAGATTAAGTAGTTAGTCCTAATTTAATTTCAATGTGGATTTAACGATTTTGATTCAAATTGTTTTTTGAAGCAAGGCAATTCACTCGATCTTTTATTCACGCACAATTCTCACGCCTTCTAGTACTTCCTCACTAATTCATGTTCATTCTCGCCCCTTCTCATTCTGCCTTATCTTCTTGCTTGCTCCTGGGCACCCTGCCACAATTCGGGTTGCCTTTTTTTTTCTTGTTCCTTTCTCTCCAACAATCTCCAACAACTATCAATCTTGCGAGCAAGCAGGATTTAGAGCTGGATACGGAACAAATGATCATTTGCAAACCATTAAGTCGTTGATTGAAAAAACCATTGAATATAATAGACCCCTGATACTTGTCTTTGTCGACTTTGAAAAAGCATTTGATACGGTCAATCAAAGTGAAATGCTCCAAGCTCTAACACAATGTAGAATAGATCACCGATACATATCTCTCATCAGATACATCTATCAACATGCTACAGCCTGTGTAAGACTTAATGAAGATACTGGGACTTTTTCGTATTGAAAGAGGCGTTCGGCAAGGAGACAACATGTCTCCTAAATTATTTACAACTTTTGCTAGAATACGCTTGTAAAACAATTGATTGGAACGAAAAGGGCATCAATGTAGATGGAAAATTTTTAAATAACCTTAAATTTGCAGATGATATCATTCTTATTGCAGACAGCTTGGATCAGGCACAGATAATGCTCCAAGAACTCCATACTGCCACAAAAAGAGTTGGTCTTAAAATAAATTTTTCAAAAACACAATTTATGACAAATTTAGTCCACAACAAACACATCTCAGTAGAAGACAAAGATATTGAGCCAGTTGACTCCTATAAATACTTAGGCCATGAGATCAGAATAAGTCGAGACAACCAAACAATCGAGCTGAAAAGAAGAATAAACCTCGCTTGGGCTGCATTTGGAAGGATGAAGGATATTTTAGGTCTAAGATTCCAATGTGTCTGAAAAGAAAAGTATTTAATCAATGTATTTTGCCAGTGATGACCTACAGCGCAGAAACCCTAACGCTCACAAGAACAACAGTGAGTAAACTACAAGTTGCGGAAAGAGCAATGGAGAGAATTATGTTAGGGATTTCTCTACGTGATAGAATACCCAATGCTACTATACGCAAAAGATCAGGAGTAGCAGACGTTATTGAAAGGATAACAACACTTAAGTGGAATTGGGCAGGTCATGTAGC